CCAATGGCCACCTCTAAATGAGTAATCGTTTTTGGAAAAAATAAAATGATAGGTCAGCCATCTAGAAACAGAACATAAATCAAATCCGACACATTCTAGATATTACTGATAAGTGATACATCAATAACAGTGTAATAATCTTACAGAAAAGTAGTAGAAAGAAAGAACCACCCCTTTCAAGTAATTCTAATCATACAAGTTGTCCATCCACAATAGTTTTACAAAATGAAAAATCGACTCATCAAGGTTGGTAGGGATAGTCATAGCTATATCCCACCCAAAGATCCATGATTTCGTGGACTAAACAAAACCTTGTCAAGCTACAAACAAACTCCAACATCTCCAAGTCACTTTAGCCCACTAAATTAAGATGGCAAATTGCAGCAGTAACTACGGGTCCCCTCCAGCTGAAAAAACTAATACGGCACGTTCGCGTATTTGCTTCAAGATTCTAATGGGTCACCATCCCCCTCAGGCAGCCCAAATATTCTGAGGTTTCTGTCCATGGATCCAACAGCTATGTATTTTGCGTCAGGACCAAATTTGACACAAGTTGTTTTACCTGTATCCATCCATGGGTAATATATATTGAACTAAAAGCTATTTGTAACAGCTCAAGAAAACACAATGATGAGAGCATATTTACAAAATCACCCCAGAGTTTCACTCTGCAACTCCATTTGTGTTATTATAAATGTCTACCCAAAAAGAACGGTGAAACAAATGTCATGAGAGAGTAGTGATATTTACGCTTCACATGTAAAGTAGTTTTGTAATTTAACCCTATAGATACTTCAAAAAAGCACAAAAAAGAAAGTGTACCTGTCCCAGACAAGTCGGGGAATGTCTTAATGCAGTTCCATTCAGATTTGACGTTGGCAACTTGATATACTCTGTAGATACACCATGAACAACAAAATAATGACTATTACAACCAGAACTTTCGAACAACTCATAGTTCACTCAAAGAAACTTTATCTCAAATATCTACTATTAATACACAATCAAAGGGTATTTCAGGCAATACCTTATATCAGACCCTCCTAGGGCAAGATAACTTCCACTATGGTCAAATTCAACTGCAAAACCAGGTAACTGTCAGATACAAGACCATAGTGTCTCAAAAGGTGACTAATAGATTAACAATAATACATGTACATATTCAACCAGTTAGTTTCTCCTCCTGCTCTGCAATCCTCCTAACAGAGACAGGAGTCTCAAATATACAAATGTAAGACCAACAGCCAGCATACATGCCAATCATGATATGACATATCACCTGATTGCGTGGGTGTGTTTTCATCATATGGAGCAAATGTTCTAAAGTTCTTCAATCTACGTAAATCCCATAGCTTAACCCCATCTTGTGCAGCAGTCTGAAAGTTAACGCCGCCCATCATGATAATATGGAAAAATCAAGTTCAAATTGTTCACAAGCTATGGAAAAAATATATACCGCCAGGAAATAACCATTCTCCGAGAATGAAATGGCAGTAACTGCCCCAACATGCCCGTCAAATCTAGCAACATTTTGCTGTTCATCGCCAATGGACAAATAGAATATCAGGTTAATCGATAACTTTAAAAGAAAAAGATATTAGCAATTAAAGGAAAAAGAACAAAACAATCTGCACCTGACTTTTGACATCCCAAATCTTAACAAGAGAACCAGAGGTACCCGTTCCAAGGATAAGGCCATCAGGATGAAAAGCTGCAGATGTGTAGCCCTCAGAAGACCCTGATTCGTCCTCAACCTGAGACGAATTCAAAAAAAAGGGTTACAAGTTACAAAAGTGGGATAAAATCTCTAAATGACAAGGAAAAAAACTTGGTTTCCTATCCATACGAAAGACAGTGTTTGGACCTGAGTGAGGCATAAACCAGAAGCAAGATCATAGAAGCACCATGTTTTGTCAAGAGAAGCAGTCACAAAATACTTGTTGGTTGCATGGATCGTCACAGCTTGCACCTGTCACAAAACAAGAGAACACACACACGTGCACACACACAAAAAATCAGGTGGCAAGCACAAAAGATTATAAAGAGCAAGCTATAGTGTTTAAAAAAAAAAAGAAAAAAACTGTAGGTGTCTTGCAACCATTTCAAAAGTTTTAAGCAATGTCCTAAATCATCTGCCAAAATTGAACTAAATATTAGGAAAGACAGTTCAAATTATAAATTACAGAAAATCATAAGCAGGAGAGAATATACCTCTGCAGTATGATCCCTCAAAGTGTGCTTACTTTCAAAACTTCCGTCTTCAGACCCTTGCCACAAACGAACTGTCTGCAATTAACAAAGGGAGATCTATATGAGAAGCAAAGAAAGAATTGTACTGCTCCATCAACTAGCAAATGAGCTGAAGTTGACTGGGGAATAAAAAATTATCTATAAATATTTATGCAGTAAATGTTTATGACTAGAGAAATATTATTAAAATCATAATTTTACATTTTATTTATAAAAAATGTCAATACATATTTTTTTAAAAAATTGATATCCAACACTACAATTGACCCTGTGAACTAACACTTAGCCTAAAAACCAGCTGAGGTCCATGCCCCAGGCAGGGTTTTCAAACATTTGAAAAAAAAAAAAAGCCCTTCAGAAATAGGCCAAATGCAGCCGTTAGAGAGGATAAAACCGCATGTCAATAACTAGCATAAATTTATTTCAGATTTCACTATTTGATGTATAAGTTACATAATAAGCGCTACAATCCATTTATATTCAAAAAATCTAGAGGTGAACTCTCTAAACAGATGTCTACTTAAACTGAGTTACTTCCATCCAATAAGGAACCCAGATTTTCACGATTCTAGCCACAAAAAATATAAGGTGGCATGCACCTTGGCAAAGAATTCCACTTAATGTAGAAGACAATGCCATTCAATTGGACTGACACAAATCTCAACCTTTAGCAAACTCTAACATGAAGCCCCCATAATTTCTTTTCATCCTTGCAGAATTTAAATAATGTCTACTTTCTCTCATGATATCTTCAATGAGACATAATGCGATATTTATATTAGGTAAAATAATATCAACTTTGGCAAACTCTAATATCATTCAGCGGCTTCCCAAGTTCTCCATCTGAAGCTGTACTTAAGTAGGCAAAGACTAATGAGCAAGTATTTTTTGAAGAACAAATTCTCCAATATTACTAAATTGCATAATAAGAATATACAAGAAAAGGTTGTTAATATACTATATAGACAAAAATTACACGGAAAGTATTATTAGAATTATTACTCACTTTATCAGCAGAGCCAGTAACAACTAATTCACCTTCCGCAGCAAATTTGACACTAGTAACCTACATAAGGACAAAAAATTAACATCCAATTCTTTGAGAAACTGGAACTCAAAAGAAAGTGCATATATATACACGCATTATATGTATATATATATATATCTTACTGAAAAAAAAAAGCAATCTGAATATCCAAAGAAATAGGACAATTAAGATACCTTCTTCGAATGACCACTGAGAGTAGATACAACTTGACCTGATGGCCTATCAAACACTACAGCATTTGAATCAACTCCAGCCGTAGCAATGATATCCTGCAGTGTAACAAAATTGAGAGGGGGAGGGAGAGAGAGAGGGAGAGGGTGAGAGAGTGCGACAAGATTGAACAATATGTCTAAATTAAGTTGACATAAATATCAAATCCACTCCTCATTGTCGGTCAAGTGAAGCAAGTAAAACAACCTGGGTACAGCCTAAATTCCTATTGCAAAATCCATGTTGATGCAATTACATTGGATACATTCATTAGATTTCTTCTAATAAAGATAGCTTGTGAGATTTATACACAGTACTGGTACAAAAATCAAAGTTATAATTGAAGTACATTGTCACTTGAAACAATTATACCAACAAAACCAACTCCTTTTGTTCTTCAAGGGAGTTGGATAACTACTAGATCAAAGAACAATCTTTTTTCTTATTTATTTCATGTTTCACTTTATTCTTATTCCCTTCTTTGCTTATTTTTATTCTTTTTCTTTCTCTTGCTTTTTTTGACCAATGCCAGATGCAGAAAGATTGTGATGGAATGAAAAGAAATCTCATATCCTCGCATGAAAATCAAATTGGTCAACAATGCATATCAGAACTTCACAGGTGTACACAGACACGAATATATGTTAACTTTTACATGATTGTTCAAAACCCCATGTCCATCTCACAAATATCACGAGATAAAAAGAAGGTAAAGATAAAAAGAAAAAATTAATAGAATAGAATGATAGGAAGGAGGTAAAGATAAAAAGAAAAAATTAATAGAATGATAGGAAGGAGGTAAAGATAAAAAGAAAAAATTAATAGCGCTGTTGATGAAGATCATAAAAATCCACAGGGGAAAGCCATTAGAAAAGGAACAAATACAACAGCAGAAAACTCCCCATACCTTGGAGTACAAAATGTCCAATGATAATATGCCAGGTTTGTTGGTCCGATGAAGAGGGTTTACAGTGAGTTGAGTGTACCTCTCAACAGCATCAATGGAGGCCAATGTTGCTGGTATCTGGTAAAATTCACGAATTAAAGTACATATGTATTAGCTACTAAAAGGTTAGATACCTGGCACTCATATTTCATCTAGAGAAACAATAGGCAATGCTCCAAACTTCTACCTGCCGTCTTTTCCTTTGTTGTGAAAGGGCAGTATTACAATCGGTAAGCTCGGAAATGATACTACTTGAGATTCCTGGGCGACCTCTTTTAGCATCTGTATCAATCTCGCTATCCTCAAGTGCTACAAGGACAAAGCAAAATTAAGATCCAGCATAAGCACATAAGTTTAACGTGAATAAAAACCCAAGTGAAAATGCCAAAAACCTCTTTTCCCATTGCTTAGAGCAGCAGCATTGGCCGCATCTGGGACTGCCACTGAAGAGGGTATCTGTCGTTCAGCCTGTGCCAAAAACGACCTTGCCTCATCCCTTTCCTTCTTCAGCCTTGCAATGACACGACAAGCAGCATCATGCTGCACAGAACAGGAAAAAATTAAGTAGCCGAGAATGGCATGCCATATAGAAGATTAAATTTCACCAAGCATCTGTAACTCAAAATCACCTGGTATAGAGCATGACTTAGTTCTTGCCTGGCAGTATGTAATTGCTGCTCCAACGCAAAATTTGAAAGCATCAAGCCATCCCATTCCTAGTTATAAAGGGAGAAAAACACAAAAACAGAGTCCAAGCTCATGATTACTGAACTCGTTCCAGTTTGATGTGTCGGAAAATATAAGCCAACAAAAACACACATGGAGTAAACACAAAAAAGCGCAATGATAAAAAAAAATATGCAGACAAACTATATCAGGTTTACAGCAGAATTAGGTTAATTTACATAGTGGAACAAAGATCACGAAAGAGAGACAATGAGAAAAGTATTCCTCAGCATCATATATCCAGTAAAATAATTGGAAAGGAGGGAAAACCATAAGAAAGTTATGCACCCCTGCACTCATAGCTGGAGCTAGAAAAAGAATTGCATAAATTCAAACTGTTGCGCCATCAAAATCGTTGAAGGAGAATCAAATCGTATTCAATAGGCTAAAAGAACCGCATAAGTTCAAACTGTAGGGCCATCACAATCGCAACATTGTTGAAGGAGAATGAAATATTATTCAATAAGCTCAATGAGAAAAGAACGGACAATCTGAAACAATCCCAGCATCCCAGGAATACTTGCAGCCTGCACTGGCCGGGGCTTCACTATCTGTGAAAAGAAAACCAAGGTCAACCTAACCAACTTTCCAATGAGAGAGATAGGAATCAGAGAGATGAACAAAGTAGGATAACAATGGAATCATAATTATATTACAAGTCAGCAAAATTTATACCTTTCCACTTTTGATTGGAACAATATCATCCATTGTTAATGGTTCTCCAGTAATTGGACATTTTCCATAATCCTATAAATCAAGAGAGGCAAAATTGAGCGCATCTTTGATCAGGATCAACTAAGTATGGAGTCAAAAACCAAAGGTAAGAAACATATCCAAAATACTGAATATTGAGTCAATAATTCAAATTATGTAAGCTACAAGGACCTACAAATTATGTAAGCTACAAAGCAGGCCACTTAGGTCCTTGGGAAAGATACAGATGATCATATGTTAATGATAACGAAAAAATAATACTCTGGCTAGAGGGTTTTTTTTTCTGTTGAGCTGCTATGGCTTGAAGAGTAACAGTGATAAAAATTCCTGTCGTTATACAACAATACATTCCTTTACAAAAAAACATAACCTGGTAGCCATACTCAACTTTCAATAGAGATTTTCAAATCAAGTTATTTAAGTAACAGAAGCTCAAAAAATGCGAACTCCTAAAGTGTTTCAGTGTTTTACTTTCAAGACAACTGAAATCCCACTGCATATTTTCAAAACAACAGAGATACCTGTCAAAGTCTTGGTAACACAGAGATAAATTGACAACTAAAACATTTCTCTTTGATGAATTTCATCTAATATTTTCACAAAGGCATCATTTATGATGGCAATAACAATTAAAGCACTTCAATAAAATTAAAGGATTACTCGCAGAAGAAAATATTCATTCACCACAATTTTTCACCAACTCACCTAGAACTACAATGATGATATGTGCAATAACAGAACTTAATTGAGCAAACTTCTCAAGAATTAAAATAACAGATTAGTTAAGCCTTTTATCTCCCATTAGATATATTTCTCTCGATGCTTTATTGATTCACAAAATTGAGATCCAAGAAACCAAACACCTCCTCCCCTTGACGAAATAAGCAAACCCTTTTTACATATTATCAGTAGCTAACATGGCACGAGCCCTCAACCAAACTACTCGATTACATAAAAATTCGATTATTGGCACAGATCTAAAAGACCGATATGCACAAATATATAGCACACACCGAGATGTGGCGCTCGATTAAGCGTTTTTCGAACAGGAGGCCAGAACTCTTGGAGACGACGGGCTCCTCCGGCACCTCACCGGAAACTGCAAAGCCCGAATTGAAATTACAAATCAGCTACGCCAAAGCACGCGGAAATACACAAATCCAAATGCATAACATATACAAAGCAGCAACTAGGCACACATTACAGTACAAGAAAAAAGAGAGACTTACTTGAACAATTCATGGTGAGCGCGTCTCCCACGGAGTGTTCTACGAACCCTAGAGTTTATGCTTCGAAGTAAGACTGAATGGGCAGAGGTCGAGAGTGTGTCGGGCAAAGAGATTTAAAAAAAAAACGAAAGAAAAAAATATCGAACACAAAGACTAGGGCAAATGACAATGGCAGTATTTTATCCCAACGCCGGCTAGAAAATTAGGGCGTGAGTTTGTATCAAGTTTTGAAAATTGAACCGTTCATTGAACCGGTAAAACTGATGGTTTAAAAATTCACTGGTCCAGTCGAATCAGTGGTCAAATTAGTTGAACCGGTTGAGTTAATATATATTTTATATTTATAATATATAGTTTCATATATTTTTATTATTAGTTTTATAGTATACAATGATATTTCTCTATATTTTTATCAGTAGTTTTATATTATTACCATTAATTTTATCGAACTGGTTTAATGATTTACTGTGTACGACCTCGTTTCCTTAAAACTCCTTTTATCTCATCATTCAAGTGTTCACATTCATCCGTTGTGCACAGTAGTCCCGATGAAACCTGCAATATCGGCCAGACTTCGGTTGCATGGGACCTTCTATCCTAGACCTGGTGTCACAACCCGATCATCAATCCTCTGCTTGATCGTCTGAAGAACATCTGCCATTAGGGCCCTCAACGACGTATACTTCCCATATTTGCTACCGTTTTTGAGTGGTCGTTCATGCCATTTATCTTCTCTTCGATCATCCTTTCTAGCAGTCGACGTCTCTTGCCTTGGCAAGCTCGCTTCTATCCTTCTTGGTCTCTTTTATATGGGTTGTCTGCTCGAGCTTCGGGAACTCAGCTTCTGTCTCTTCCAGGTAAAAATAATGTGTCATTGTACGTCATATCTCCTTTCTTGGTCGAGGCTTCTACAAGCCCCCGCCCTCAAACTCCTCACTAATCCTCCAGCCTTGATCTCATCTGAGGCCGAAAGAATCTCGATGCATGCCTTAATATACCAATCGACATAACTCCTCAATGACTCGCCCTCTTTTTGCCTCATGGCCATTCAGGTTAAGTAAGTTTTCTCCGACGCTATAATACTAACGTATTGGTTAAGGAAGGAGCTCGAAAACCCTCGAAATTTATAATCGACCCTGGGGGGAGCTAGTGGAACCAATCTTGAGCCCCTCCCCTCAAGGTTGCCAAAAAAGCTCGACAACTTACTGCATCAGAATATCCCAGCAACACCGACATGTTTTCAAAGCAACGCAAATGTCTAGAGAGATCAGAAGACTCGTCATATGTGAAACTAACCTCTTTGAAGTTCGTAGGCAAGTCAACATGTAGGATGTTGTAAGAAATGACCTCGCGCTCTTCCTACCTTTCTCCCCTCGACCTTTGATTGCAGTTATCGAATCTGCATAGCCAATTTTTCTAGGGTTTGGTCCTTCTAGACCTCGACAGCCCGACTGCTGGACTCCTCCAGCTCCGTCTCTTGACTGGTCACCTGAGTGGTGGTATTTGTCGTCGTGGATGGATGGTCGTCTTCTTTGGTCTGCATCTGGCCTGGCTCCTCCGCTCGAGCCCCTATCAACATCAGCATTACCTTTTCCTTGGTCATTGTGATGAGTTGTTGAGTTGGAGCGTCCCTAGGTAGTCTCATGACCTGAGGTCGAGCCACTTTTAATTGGTCTGGTACTGGTTCCGTCACCACGACTCCTGTTGGGGTGGCACCTTTTTGCGTGCTTCAACCGCCAGTGGCTGGTAAAACTAACGGAGGACTCCCCGCGCCAGGTTTGTGGAGTGTCGGGGTCGTCAAGTCTTGAGAACCTGCTGAAAAACAGGGCAAAGGCCCTGCTCCCCAAGGCCTGTGGTGATCCACGCTACATCAAACGTGGGTGTCAAGTTTTATATAGGAGAACCGTTCACCATGAGTACCGATCTGGCTTTTTGAACGTTTGTTCCCACAGACGGCGCTAATAATTATGAAATAGACATCACTCAGTCCCGGTTCATATTGCTATAAAGAAATGCCTCCTTCGACCTCAGTGATTTATCCTTCGATCTCGAACGACTTTCACACCTACAAGAACTCAATGCCAGAAAAGGGGGTTTTCCAATAAAGAGCCCCCGATGCCTAAGTTAGTATCACTCCTGGAGGATGAATGGTAATAAAAATATATAAAAGTGTGTAGAATGTAACCCCAAAAACTAACCTACCAAACCCTTTTATATAGGGGGATGGTGTCTTGTTCTCCAAACTTGCCCAAAGGGTTGACCAACTGCCCTTACTGCCCATCCGTACGACCTGCAACGCCTACTAAGCCCCAGTTTGTTGGGTTTCAGGGGTGCAGATGACCCAATCTCGTTGTGATGTACAGTCCAATCCTCGTATACTGCAGTTGTTTGTCCCATTTTTGTGTCTTTATTTTGAGTCTATTTTCTCTTTATTTTTCCCACGTATAGGATTTTCGTAGTTTATTTGGTCCAATTCTGTGATTTTTCTGTTTTTTTTTTCTCCTTAGTTCGTTTGGTGCATCTTTTGCGGTGTTTTGCTTCGTGTTTTCTTCGTGTTTGTGTTTTCAGGAGGTAGGTTGTGTTGACTGAGGACGGGACTACTTGAGCTTAGACCGGGATATCAAGAAGACCCATTAACTTGCTCAGAATACTGAAGGAAGGACCGAAAAAATGAACCGAAAAGCTGCCCAGAACTTCTCGCGACTCGCGAGTCAGTGTCGCGACTCGCGAGATGGTCGCGACTCGCGAGAAGGTCACGACTCGCGAGTCCAACAGAGCCGAAAAGACGAGTTCTGCGAGACGAGTCGCGACTCGTGAGTCCATGTCGCGACTCGCGAGACAAGTCGTGACTCGCGAGTTTCCCCAGAAGTTAAATATTTTTCGAAGACGCGCGACTCGCGAGATGTCGCGACTCGCGACACGGCAAAAGTGTATGTCGCGACTCGCGAGATAACCAGCGCGAATTTCGAGGTCGGGATTTTAACATCAAAATTTCGACCTAGACATGAGGATTCACATTCCAGACTTCGTTTTTACACTTTTTCTCTCTAGAAACTCATTCCTTTTCATACTTTTGCTATTTTGGATTGGTTTTGGAGATTAAAACTCTGTTTTCTGGCTTGGATTTGGATTGTTCAGTGGATTTGACATTGGGATTCTTTTATTAATCGTAAGTTCTTCTTTTCTCAATTGTGTGATTGATGATGATGGCTTGGGTTTTTATGAGTTTTGATGTTGAATTCCATATGAGTAGCTAAATCCATACGCTAGGGATAGGGGATGATTGATTAGGTTCGATTATAATTGCTTGTTCTTAATTGTTCGTATCTATTCAAGTTGTTCCTATTATAGGGTTAGTAGATTGATCACCTTCCTAGCTTAATTAATCAACATGTAGAACCGAGAGGGGAGACGTTGGTCGATGTAGGCTTGTTTAGAGTAGACTTGTTCGTAATAGTATTGTCTAAGAGTTGTTGGAATTGATAGTTGATCGTGTACGTTCACTCTTTTGTTACGAAGAGTTATTGAGAGTAAGCCTCTGGACGAGAAACGATTCAAGTCCTTTAACCGAGCAATTGATTGCCGGTAGTTGTGTTAGAACCGAAAGCAATTATCCCCGATTCCCTAGCACTTTAATCATTCGAGTTTATTCACTTGCTATTTAATTTGTTTGCTTTAATTTTAAATCTTTAGCTGATAATTAAAACCCCAAAATTATTGAATAAAAGTGTTTAGGAATTTTTCTTTTCTTTCTCGTGATCGAATAATCGTACAATTGAATCCGGCTAACCTTCCTTGCGATACGACCCGGGGAACGAATCTTTCGATTCTACTCTGGTAAAAATACTTACAACAGCAGTTTCCCAAATAGATGCCCTTTTGTCGCCTCAAGAGGTCGAGTCCACATTATCAGGTCGAAACTTCTTTCTGGTAGAACATGATCTTTTCCAGCTCCCTCCGTCAGTTGAGTAGAGCGTGGTACATTCGACCTCTTGAATTTAGGTCGAATGAGGTATGGTCTTGTCAGTTATGTCCTCTTTTTAGTGGGCCACTGTGAGTCGAGCCACTTTTTTAACCATGCCTGGTTGTGCAGCTTCCATGAGAGGTTTGATCTGGTACTATATCTTATATCACGATGGATGGGTCATAGGGGTCACCTGAGTTTGACTCGACCTTGAGAAGCCTATCGGTGGGTCAGCTCCCATTGGTCGCTTGGAGACCCAAGCCTCGTTGAAGGTGGGCTCTATATTTCTCCTGGGATCATCACTTGCAATGAACAATGGTGATTTGATGAATTTTCGAACGAGTTCCCACGGACGGCGCCAAAATGGTGTGCAAACGACCTCGACCTGATGAAACGTCCTTGGATTCACTCACGGTCGGTTCAAAGATTTGCAAAATGGGTCGGCAGGTGATCCCAGTGTTAGCACTCTGACAATCAAGTCAGTCCACAATGATAAAAATGATGAAAAGTTGATACGTAAGTTTGTAAGTACTTAGAGGGTGTAGATTTTGGGTTTTCATACCTCACCTCTTTATATAGTGTGCTATCTTGTTTTCCAAGATTGTCTAGATGGTCAGCTCGAGTGCCCGAATTGCCCGTTCATACTACCTAGGTGCCTAAACTGCCCATTCATAGTTTCATACTACCCAAGTGGCCGAACTGCCAAATTCTACTAGGCCGCATGGTGTAATCCATGTGTGGTTCTTAATTCCTTCTTATTCATTGGTCTGCCTTATTAGACGATTTAATCATACAACCAGTTCAACCTTCCTCGAGTTAGATTACCTCTTCGTTTCTTTGGTTGTCCTTCAGATTAATCCATTGACTTGCATACCCATGTCGAGTTTTTATCAGGCCATCCGAGAGCCCTAACTCAACCCGTCGGCGATGTTCTTTATCAGCAGCATCGTCATTGACCTGATGCCTCTTCGACCTCATGTATCTTAGATCCCTGAACGACATGCTGGTTCACTTGGTTTGGTTGGATCGCTTCTCGAATCAAATTGATTTAGTACGGATAATTATTTTATTTCATTTTAATACAATTTTTTTCAGCTTGTGCATTGTAATTTTTAACTTTTAATTAATTTTTAGTTTTACTATTTTATTATGAATATAAATTGTAACTTTATGATAAGTTTTAATGCATAAATATCAAATCAAATTTAAAATAATAGTGTAGTTGAGTTTGTAAATGTATAAAATATAAGAGTAATATTGAAAAGTTGTAAAAGTTGATATAAAAGAGAATATTTTGAGAATATTCTTTTAGGTTTGAGAATGAGTTTTTCAATTGAATAAAAAATACTGTTTGATGAGTCAGCTACTGCCAAATGAGTTTGAAAATGAATTTTTCGGTTGAATGTCATTAGTTGAAGCATAAACGGTGTTTTGATATTTTAACTAGATTTATTTTGGTTTAGTTTTTCGGGGTTCGTTTACCATGAAGGTGGGATTAGATACTTTTATTTCATTCTCCCACATTAAATATATAGTTTATTTAATATTAATATGGTTTCTACCTAAAAAATACTAATAAATATAAAATAGTATTTCTTAAATAAGTAAAAACTACACATATTTTACAAAGTTTTAAAATTAGACCATACCAATATTTTATATTTGATTGAAAAAATATATTATAAGAATATCATATTGTTTTTTATTACCAAAATGTTATTAAAATGTGGATAAATTATTTCGAATTTTATACTCGTATATGAAAATATTTGCAAATATTTTCATAGTTTTTTTATTATTTTTTTATTAAATTTTTTATAGGATATATATATATATATATATATATATATATA